TGGGCACCAGCAATGCGTGTCGTTTGGAGATTCTCGTGGGTCATGACTCGCACTCGTCATGAATTCATCAACTGCATTCCCCTCGTCTTCATTTCTGACGATAATCACTCAGTCTGATGAAGTGCAAAGAGACCAAGCACTCGTGATATACCTAGGTCCAAGATAGTGCTGAACGTCTGGACGAGTGAATTTCTGTGTGAATATCAATACAAAATATCGACCACTACTACATAGATGGTACCTATGGAGTGGACCGATAGGAAGGACGAGTCCCAAGGGCTGGTGTTTGCAGAGAATACGTAAGTGGATTCTAAATGGACGCGGTAAAGAATAAATCGAATTTGGCTTCTATAAAACTGGTTCCGCAAAAAAGTTTTTGATACTTTTCGACGATGAAAGAGAACCGGACGGGGAGGGCGAAAACTCCATCGGAGTTTTTGTTGTCGTTCGCAGTCCGGTGAACGGTTTCAAATCATAGTGCGACATTTACAACTGAACTAGGTAATGCTTAGTGGTGATGGGAGACCCCAAATCGAACATCTCTGTAGAACTAAATACTGAAATACTACGAAAAGCCTAACATTTCTCGCTTTGGAGGAATTTCGCCCTACAGTAAGTATGCCAACATGCTCGTTTCGTTACAGCAAACGAAGCTTTCGACGAATGGCACTGCGGACAGGTGCTCTCGAAATACTCCCTCTTCAACAATGAAGAAGGTCATTCACCAACAATTCAACTATTTATAAACGGCCATATTGGGCAAGTGGATGAGAATATTCGATGTATCGTACTGGCTGTTAAAGGGTGCTCTCGACGTTGATGAGCTTCACAGCGGTTTCTCGCCTTGTGTCCGCTCCATATGATTACAACAACGTTATCGCAAACATTCAGCTGCACTCGAAAAAGATCGTCAATCCACATTCCATCGAAACGACCCACGAATGACCAAACTGATCAAATTGGCGGAGCGGCTCCAATACTGGTATTGAGAATGCTGACGCTTTGATCAACGACACTGAATCAGTTATGAAACTCTGAAATGGATCGTAGTCGATGAATCAGCGCCTGATGATTTAGGGCATAGGTAATCAGGTGTACTAAGCGAGTTGCGGAGAGTATTCCAATTTCGAGGGACCAAGCAAGATCAACATTCTGGTTGTACTCGATTCGCATAGGCTTGTCGACGATGTGTCTTTCATGAAGGCACATCTCACGGTAATTTTGAGGTACCCTTTTTGGGTTTGAAAGAGGAAGTTTTGATGTGGAAGAGTAAATCGGTAGCTAAGGAAGCGAGACAATCCGCCTTCTTTCTTTTTAGAAGTTGTGGATGTGGAGGTTGTACGAGATCACCGTGACGAGAATTACATGTAGGAGGTGTTTGAACGAATTGTCCATAACTGCCTCTCGCTGTCGTCATGGGTTATGGCAATTTGTTTGAACTTCCTATATGGGAGTCTGTTGAGATAGTGCAGCCTCTACAACGCCATTGAAACTCCTCCACCATGGGTGCGGCCTTCACACGATACAATCTCTGTCCCCTTATTGCGCCCTATCCAGGACCTTTTTCGACCTTACAACGGCACGTATGGTATAAGGGGAGACCCCGAACTCATACTATAAGGAAATCTAAGGAACCATTTTCATTGTGAACTTTGCCTTCAAGAAAACTTTTCTAATAAATTTTCTCGGACAGAGTAAGGATTGAAGTGATCCCCTCTCATCCTCACTATTAATAAATCACTTTTGCAGGAAGAAAGTATGGCCTTACAGCCACACAAATATTGGAAAAAATAGTAGTTTGGTATTGAACACTCTCAAACAATACCCCCAGCCCAAAGAGGCGCAAGCGCAGCGTCCAACTTGATTCCAACATCAGCGAGTTCCACGACGTTTTTAACAACAAAGTAACTTTATTCAATTCAGCCGTTCATCCGTAACGAATTCCGTGAATGAACAAGGATGGATGTGGCCCGATCAGTAAGAACTGCTTTAGGGACAATGTACTATTCTTTCAAATATCGTAAGATATACCGGCATTTGACATGGCAATAGTGGCTTATGCCAGCCAAAATTAGCTCGTATTCGTTCCAGCTTTTGCCTTTTCATGGAAGTGAGGTAGAGAACCCAACACGATATTTTTCCACATAATTCCGCTATTCTTTTGAGCTACTGAAATAGCCATTAGGCCAAAAGCTCATGAAGATTCACAACCGTGTTATGCCACCTACTACTCGCACATTCTCATTTACCCCTGAAAAAAACATCAACTACTTCGGTGCAGACACATGAAGCAACGTCTAAGTGAATAGCCACTTCGACTCGCCGTCGACATTAACCGTACTAGTCAGATGAATCATCAGTCACAATGGGTGTGATATCGTCGAAAACGATCAGCCGTGGCGATTGACCACGATGGTCGTGTTTTCCGTGATCACATGACCGAATAAGTATATTGGGAGATAAGTACGGGAGTAGCTGAATGCAGGAGGCTCTTATGGAATTCCAAATTGGCCAGGCACTTTTCTCACCAACGTTGTGTGAAGTAACCTTGAACTCGTTGCGTATAATTCATTCTAAGGTTTGCTTTGTTGGTTTTGTAAGCCAGCCAAACCGCCTTAACTTATTTCCATGAGGGTTTTTTCTATGTTGATTGCTGTATGTGGTAGCGATGGTAAACGAGTATTGCCGAAGTTTGCCGTTTTCATGAACCTCACTGAAACTCGTCCTGTACTTTTCTTCTAATTAGCATCGATAGTGCAGGAGGATTAAAATTAGTGAACGTGGAGGACGAGCAGCCTAGAGAATGTGACTGAACCATTGCACTTCTCCAATGGGTTCTTAAATGACTTCACTGAGAAGGAGTAGTCGCAGGTCAAGCCAGACAAGCCTGTCAACTTCATTACGTTACACTACACGATCACAAAGTCGACTAATTCAATCATGAACATCCGCACGAACGTGAAAATTTCGTAGGGAATTGAGACTTAAGGGGAATCGACGCAATGATTGGGAATCGAATGGGACTTCTCTGATTGAAGGGAATTGCTGAAATCAAACCACAAGTTAGCTGCTGTTGAGAGATTATTTTTAAACGATTTTCACGCCTCTCAGAGGAATCAGCAACATATTCGTTTTTGATTTTCGAGAAGGGCACCTAAGAGGAAAAGCGGCAGAAGGATTCAAGAGCACATGAGCACCGGCATGACCGTTTCGAAGAAATTTCAAATCAAAGGAACACCAAGCGTTCTTTCGGAAGCAAATTCGAATAAAATCAGAATAATAGAGTCACATAAGAGCAGTTACGAAAAGGATCAGAAGTTCAATCAGCAGTTAGAGAAAATCGATACAGAAGAAGGGTCTCGTCTGGATACGAGGTTAAACATAGACTTTGGGAGATTATTTCCCTCGTAGTAAGTAGGAACTCATCCCTGATTTTTTTTTCCCTGTAAAAACATCAAATCATCAGAAGCGGGAAGTGTCTCAATGATAAGTTGGTAAAAAGATTTACGATAGCAAATGCTTTGTAATTTTGTGATGCCCCAGAGAGGGATTAGTTTTCGTGGAATCAAAAAAATTACCTAATTATGTGAATGACTGGACACGAACGAAAGGAAACCTGTGAAGACATTACACTCGCATCCCAGTCCATGCTTCCGACTGCCCGTGACACAGATTCATACTTTACTCTTTGTATTTCAGGGACACGATAAATTTTCTCGAACATTATGGTTATGGGATAATGAAGATGGAACCGCTTGACTGACACATGAATTTTTGACGTCGACTAAACCGAAAATCGGTTTCCATTCGAATTTAGGATGTCGTTCAACGCGTATTTGGCCTAAATTGACTATGTGGAAAGGGACAGAAAATATACAGGGTGTCCCAAATTTATGGGTGCATCTTCATGGAAATTATTAGAAGATTTTGAGCTGAGAATGAGAAAATGTCTATGAACACTAAAGTCACAGCCAAGCAGGTGTGGTGAAGATTGATTGTCCTCGGCTTTCCATTTACACTGGATTTTTTTGTTGAATTTTCAAATTGTTGATCGATCTTCTGCTATAGGAAAAGCGTGTGAAGTTATATTTTTCAAGGGCACTGGGATAAAAGTGGGAAAACTAAATGCCTGAAAACGCAGTCCACGAAGATACATATGCAAACATTGAGACTGAGGTGGGGTTTCCATATATAAAATGTGCTAATGATGATGAATCACGACAAGGATGAACTGGGCACGATACATAGACTAATAATGAGACACCAAGTTGTTCACGAAACCAACACCTGCCACTAGACAATGAATCACCTTGAAGGAATGAATGAAGCAGGTGGCTGCAGTCGTCTGGATGCACGACCAAACAAAGTTTGACCGTTTGAAATCCTTCAACCGGGATACGTAAGCACAACGAGGTCGCGAACGACCTTGAAAGCCGGTTTACTCTTTGCTTGTGATCTAAGGTTCAAAATATCGTCAAAATCTGGTGAATTCTATGAAATTGCCTCCAAAAGTTTAGAAACGGTTGAGGGGAGCGCTATGCAATGACTGCGATGGTTCCAAAAAGATGTAAACGTGAAGTTGAAGGAAAGTTCCGGTCAAATGCATTCAGAAAAGAAACTACTCAAATTTAAAGTCTTCTTGATGCCTAATGCGAAAGATTTCATAGAAACTGGCCGAAAAGGGAGTTCAGGCATTTTCTCGAAAATCGATGAAAGATTGCCTATATCATTTTAAGAAAGAACTTTCGACCTGAGGGTATCGCGGCGTGTACAAGTGAGCAAACTACCAAGTTTTCTATTTCTTTAGAAACTCGAAGTTCCGTATAAAAACTTGGCCCTCCAAGGCAACTGAGAGAACTGGGACAGATCACACATCGCCTGCGTTCCTTCACATTAGAAGTGTGAAAAATTTCGAACAAATACGTTTTGTAGAAAAAAAAACTATCGGCTTAGCCAGAAGAGTTTACGGAATGTTGACCACGGACAGTCACGCCCAGTTGTCAAGGTGCTTGTGTAAATATCGTCATTGGAGCGACCGGTGAGGCCGAAGGCGTTTTTACAAACGCACCACGAAACACGACCACGAATGTCCACACGAGGAGAACGACAACAATAGCGAGAAATTGGAATGGATCGCTAAGCACCCCACAAAAATCCTGAACAGTATGGATCAAACTGGAAGCAGCCAATGAGGAGTTTTGGATCAAGCGGGGATCGGCTGAGATGAGAGTGCTCGCCAACTATGGTACTGAAAACACGAAAAAAACAAGTGTAACTGCTCACATACTAAAAAAATTGCAGCAAATTCGTGGGTGGATCTCATTGCTCATTTCATGAAATATATACACAACAAAAAACAAAAAATAAAACCAAATTTGAAAATTGAATAAAATAAAACCAAATTTGAAAATTGAATAGAGTATTGCTTTCCACTAGGCAAGCCAATTTTTATATGTATACCACGATATTCAGCTCAGTAACTACTGTCCCTGAATGGAAAAAGGTAAAGACATATCGAAAAGAAATAAATGATTTAGATCCCAACACACTTACAATTGCGCTTTCAATTTTCCTCCTATTTTGGAAATCAATTTCGTTTCCAGAGAATTACTATTACATTTTTGCACATCTCATATCACATATGTAGAAGCTTTGAACTCGCTACAGTATGCAAGATTACTTGAAGGCAGAAATGGAAGACATCTGAATGAAATTTCAAATCGCCAGCTTCAAAAACCTGTACATGACCTAGAAAAGGAAGATCAATGAAGGGGTCCTCAAGTCGTCGTGCTTTGATCGCATTCCATCCGAAGCAAAGCGTTTTTGGGAGGAAACCCAAACATAAGGCATGCGGCGGAAAAAATAAAAGTAGCATATCCAGTAAGTCGAACATTGAATGGTGGATCAAGAACTGAACAACACGTTTGAAAGTCTCAACCCTAGTTATTGACCGACTCCAAGTATTGATCTCTGCATCCTACCCCACCTTTCCGTACCGCTTATAGAGAATGATTTTTAGGCGAGAAAGCAGACTATAACTCCTTAAAAAGTGATGTACTCTTACGAGGCCAACTACGAGTAATGAGCAAGACGAACAAACAGTGACGTGAATGCACATATGCGATCAGCGGTAACAACAAACCGCGATCCAGAAATAGAAGTGGCTGAACGATGAGAGGGATGAAGAATGCTTTCAAAACATAGCAGACTATGGTCAAGAGTTTCGTGGAGCTGAACCCGAGTCCGTACTTGTTTACTCTCACAGTCCAATCACGGTGAACAGAAAAAATAAAATTAGGTTCCGCAGTAATAAGGAAATCTAACCGTGAGCTTACAGGGTGGTCATTCAGATTATTATGCATTACGTGGCTAATCAGGACGGCGACTTCATTTACAATTTACATGGTTGAAGCAAGACCAAACCTAGGAAAAGATGGCTTGGTGGTGACTTCCGCTATTTCCCTCCACAAATAACCTACATTCGAAATGTAGAAACGACAAAGCCAAGAGAGCAAGATCTACACAAGAACGACTCATAAATTTCATACACGGTTGAGAAGGCAACGACTTTGTTCCTAATCTGTAGCCATAGATCGGCCGAGTGAAGCATTACGACAGGAGTGAGACATCGTTGAAAGTGATTTCGACAAATGATTTCTTCAAACAGTCAGCTGCACGGCCGCCGACGATACAGGTCGTTGGTGAATGATGACCTCATTTGAATGACATGACGACGGACAATCTCATTCGGAACCACAATCAATAACTATCTTCTCCTCAAGAATGAGTTTGACCGGTGGGGAAGAGCAAATATTCGAAAGTCTGCAATTTTCAAAGTCTTCTTGTGAACTGCGAAAGCTTTTAAGTGAATCGTATTGGGATCTGAGATTGTCACCTTTCGATTAGGGGTAATTGGAAATATACTGAGAAAAAAATTAGCTTTCAAGTTTTCTTGGACCATGATCCTACCACATATAATGCGCTAAGTTTGTCTGTTGGTTTGTTCATATTGTAAAGAATAAAAGGATAAAGTCTTGAGGCGTTAAGCAATCCCGTTTGAGGGGTGCGCCACGCATTCGACTTCCATTCAGAATCGTAGTGGGATATAGAATGCGTATGTGGCCGATGCAGTGACTTGCGGTGGCCAGTCCATGTACAAGTCAGTGCCTCTATCCTCCCGTACGAGTCTGGTACCAACTAACCAACCCCGCAGAGATGGAAGGCTTAGTTGGCCTAGGCAAATATCGATACAGGATTCGAACCCATGACCATGCGTGTGTGAAGGGTGCCACTTGCCACTATACCACCTCCGCTCTATACAGCGTCTGCGAAAATTTTAAATTTTGACATGAGCGTCTAAATTGGTAGGGGTACAGGATTGAGACACTGATAGAAAGTGGCAGACGTGACTGAACTTAATTCCGCCCGAGAGTCGTAGGGAGGAAGTAGGGGAAGTAGCATGCTTAAAGGCACAGTTCACGATAAAAATGATTACTGAGATTTCCCTAAATTATGAGTTTGAGGCTCCCCTTTATACCACGTCTGCCGTTATAAGGGTGAAAAACGTCCCGGATAGGACACAATGAGAAACGAGGGATTGTATCGTGTGAATGCCACGCGCACAGTGGACGAGTTTCAATCGCGTTGTTGGGCTGCACTATCTCAAGAGACTCCTACGTTGGAAATTCAAACAACTTGTCATGACCCACAGCGACAGAGAAAGGCAAATCTGGAGAGTTATGGTTTGTATAGTCAGCTCTTTGCTTAATGGGAGCGAGTTGAATCTCGTCCAAAAACCCCTTACATGCCATTCCTGTCGCGGTGATCTCGTACAACCTCTACTTCCACTACTTTTAAAAGCTTTAAGCAGGCGAATTTTCTCGCTTTCTTCGCCACCGATATACCCCTCCACCCAAACTTCCGCTCTTCAACCTAGAAAGGGTACCTCGATATAATCGTGAACTGTACCTTTGAACTGAGCGTACACTGAGCAAGTTTGCGCTGTCACTTTGAAAAAAGAGGAGAATGAACTCAAACGCACATAGTTGAGCAGTACTCCGCTCATGATGAGCGAGGCGTTCATGAAGTGCATGCGTTAGGTGTGTAAATGGCTTGGGCAGAATTTACCCTCCACTTTTTCTACTGTACCGGAGCGCCCAAATTTGGAAAGGACGTAGGCGAATAATTTGTGTTGTGCGCAATAGGTTATGACCCACGAGACTCTCTTAAATTTAATTGATCCAAAGATTAATGGCCATTTTCACATTGGTCATTTTCATCCGAAAAGGAGGAGCGTCGGGCGTTAGCCAGACAATCCGACTAGTCCGACTATAGAGGATTCAAATGAAGTCAAATACATCGAAGGAAGTTGGCTAGATAACATAGCAGTTTGAACACATTTATTTGTGATAGAAGTTCTCATCAACTTGAGCCACTCACTTTGTCACCTACCCCCCCCCCCCCCCCCCCCTCCTTACCCCTCTTCAAAAGAAGAACACAAACTTTTGTTTCCATGCTCACGTTGATGTTCTCTGGCTCAAATGAGCCCAGTTCTGCAATCCCACAATCAAGGAAGAAGAATTTGGCTGACATTGAGAGGATCTGACGCCAACCAGTTGACAAACGCACTGACAAAGCCAAACAGAGACTAATGATTATACATTGATTGTTCACATTTGAAAAACTACCATGTATCCAGACTACATTTTTAAAAAGGCATTCAAACAACATTCCTATACCAAAATTACTTCAAAAATCGATGCTGAAGGCAGTGTTTAGTGAATTGAACGAACTAACTTATAATAATCAGCAAAATTATATTCAAACTTCATTGCAAAAATAAAATTAAACAAATCTGCAAATTAGATAAAGCTGAGAAAGCAAATGAGAATAAAAAAGCTTGTGCTTGAAGTCCCTGACAGATTGGAAAGAAAAAAAAAATTTACTTTTGAACACAAGTTGTAGCAATTTGAAATTTTGAAAATCTTTCAACTTTTCAGTCTGAACAATCGTTCTTTGATCAATAGGCATTATGCTCTATGACGAAAGAAGGAAACATGCTTGAACGGAAGAATTTACTACACACTTTTGATGTACGTTTTGATGTACTGTAATAAGGCCAATGAACCAATTATTATAATAAGCACCAGTTCTAACGCACCACACAATGGCTTAATTTTTCTTTTCATACTTATTACATCCAAATTCTTGCTGAAGTGATTTTCACTTTAGTGTTACACATTTTCTACTAACCTATACATTTTTTACGAACCTATATCACTTACCTCAATTTTGTATGACCGGAATACAAAGTAAGAAGGAGCTGACCGCGATTGTAGAGGAAAACCAGGTCGAGATACGAACTCTTTGAAACCGTCAAAGAAGACTTTAAGGTTCTGTTGGTGCACTACTAACCAATTCTTGGGAAACTTTGTATTCTCTGTACCCTCAATAACTAAAAAAGTTTACAAAGTACCTGCTCCTCAGTAAGCTCTTCACTGATAGGAGTCGTCACTTCCACCGTGACAGCCGCGGGCTGCTGCTCAACAATGGTCTGGCTGCCTGCGACTTCCTTCGTCAGGACGTTATCTGGTCGTTGCTCTTGCGTTGTCTCATCAACGCGAATCAGGTGCTCCGTCTCGCGAGGTTCATAGCGATCTGTTTCTTCGTTTCTCGCAATTTCTCCTCCTTGAGACTCTTTTAGACTGTAGCATGGGCACAGCAGTTTCGACAAAGCACCGTTCACCGATGGCATCACACCGGTTAAGGCGATTCTGAAAATGCAAAACTACATATAATACAGCAAGACTACAACTATTTCAGTACGTTCAGAAGTTGCGACACATGCATTGGAAGAGTGGAAGTTTAATGAGCGGAATGGCGCTGGGAACTGGCTTGGTGGTCACTGTATGTGAGAGAAGTTTCTGCAACCGTAAACAAGGCATTGATTTCCTTTGATCTTAACTGTTCAAGCGAAGGTAAGAGGTAGCGGTAGTTATGATCCTGATCCGAACCATCATTATTCACATGATGACGATTTTGCCTACAGTCCTGTGAAACTAATTCCATTCCAGCTGAGATATCTTTGTTGCGGTCGCTCAGGATCAGTCCACTTCCGTCCACATTTTAACTTTGTTTTCATTCGTACTTAAGGGCTGATGCCTAACCAGGCTCCAACGGGGTCCTTCAGATCTGTGTTGCAATATAAAAGTCAACCCGCAAAAATCGAAACGTAAGAGACTCTTCTCTACCGACCGTTACTTGAACGTACTAATTTCCAAATAAAGGATAAGACTGAACAACAGGATAAACATAATTGAATACGTAGAACGGGAAGGATGTCGAATATCTCAATAGCTAGAGATCGAAGGCATTAATTTTCCGCATAATTTTCCGCATTCAGATTGAAATTGGGTGCATGTTGGGTGGAACATGTCGTGTTGGTTAGTCGAAAATTACTGGTTTTGCAAAAGCCCACATAGTAGGGAAAAAGCAATAGACGGCCCGTATTAATTTTGTGATGTTATTCTTTGAGTAAAACGTCCTGAATAAAGACGCGTTGATTTACTTGCTGGTAGGATCAACGGCGCTGATCATCTGCGCAAACACGGCGCGTGCTATTTCCGTCGATAGTCGATGGCCAAACAAAAACACTAACGTCCACTAGTGTTTATATTGATTTCATGAAAGATGAACCTGGTTCTGAGAAAAGGGAAGGGAAAGCTGCGAAGCAAATCACGAGATGCTTTCGCTTTCAGATGGCTGTAGAAGTGCGACTTGCAGTGAGCAAGGGAAAACATCCGATGTATCAGTGCTTTTATCCTTCCGGGCGAGTCTGGTACCAAGTAACCAATCCGAAAGATTGGAAGGCTTGGTTGGTACATGCGGATATCGTTCCAGGGTTCCAACCCGGGATCGATATCCGGTGACAGTGCGTCACTTACTATTATACCACCGCCGTCCCACTTGTGAATGATCGTGTCTACAAAATTGATGTAGCTCTTAATCAGCGTTAGGCTCGAACACTTCAATTCTTGCCTATGGTCCTGTCGAGAGCAGGAAAAATTCAAATGCGCAGAGTTACTAACGGAGATGCGAATATCGTAAAAATGATGAAAATGGCATTCTGCTTGACACCCTTGGCTGCACAATAGCAAACAAATCCAGCGAGCGTACGAAGAAGGTGTGATGCCTTTGGAGGCCTATTGAACTAATAATAACTATTCTTTCCGAACAGCGCCAATTTATTTCCCTTTGCTCAAAATTGTAGGAACATTCAAATGTATCATAATGTACTATAAGAAAATGTAAAAGTGAGCCGGTTCTTGGGAATATGTCTTCATTTCTCACATAAGTTGGTCACTTATCATTCCATTCGACCACAATTATTAAGCACCCTTGCATTAGTGACAGCGTCGTCTTTTTAAGCCCCCAAACTGCCTGCTTTTTGAATGTTGCAAATCAGAACACGATCTATGAAAAAGTCAACGAAACCATGCAGCGCTGTTGTAATTTCGACGATCTATCAGATGATTGCATCTATCTTACACACATAACAATATCTTTGACAAACGTCGCAGTTGTTTGTGGGGCATACGATTTGCGCTTGGTCTACAGCAGTCGGCCAAAGGGAATATAACACCGAAAAATGCAAAACATTCGCCCCAGTGACACTTGGTGGTACTGTAATGTCATGTCAAGACCTCAGTTGGGGTGCGCCGTCGTGGGCGGGGTGACCTACTTTCGACGGACGCGCGCAACGGACGTTCTCCTTTGCAAACATCGTATGTCGTGTGAAAATCCACACAGGAAATGGCAATGCCCACCGTGGACGTAAGGCCACACCTCGCCACAAAGCGAGGCAATTACGCCAAGAAGGACGTGAACTCACTCTTCCTCTACTGAACCTTGTGTTTTACTATGAGATCATACCAGAACGGTAAACACAAGAGTATCCTGTTAACAACTGAGAGAGAGGTGGTTTTTCGAGCCCCTTAAAATTTTACAATCGTCAGGAAGTCAAGTGGGTAGTAGATGAACGGATTGCGATGCGTCTCTCTTCTTTTTGAATGAATAGCATCGGTGCCCTGTCTGGTTGATCGAGAGACATTGTGGCTAAGAAGGGCCACCATCTTGATCACTGATCTAACTTTACTGCTGTAGTTACTTTATGTTAAAAAATCGACTGAGTTTTTTAAAAACTTCCCGGACGTCCCAGTAACTCTCGAGATGAAAGTGCTTTTTGTGGTATCAAACACCTTTATGCTGGATTCACATTGGTCTGGTCCGTTGTTGTGGTCTTGCACAAGATTCGTGGACATGAGGAAGGCTTAGAACGCCAATGATAAATAACTAATTGGAACGGGATGCATTGAAATGAAAGTCGACGACCAGTGGTTATATGGGGCCTGTTTCGCAGGCGATATTGTGCTTGTAACATGGATTATCGAGCATCCAGATTGGATGCTTGCTCAATTTGATTATCTGGTTGATTATTTAATACAATAAACTCAATGCTCCTCCATTAGTACAACACATGGTGATGAATGACCTTCACTGCCCTTTATATAAAGAGGATGTGAAGAGAGTGACATCATTGGCATATGCCAAGCTTCAGAAGCTGAGATGATAGCCGGTGCATTAGAGGGGCTCAGACAGCCTCTAACCGCACCTGTTGCCCATAGTGCAATAAGTTGTAGAACATGGTCGGAAGTTCAGCGCACGACCATGCCGAATTTTTCCGCGGAACCGACTAGTATGCTACTGGCTTGCAAAGATAGGTTTGCAACAAGCCTAATGGTACGAGCATTCTTGAACGCTTTAGTTACGTGTTGTGGCTCGAGGAATCAGATGATGAACCATCTAGCTACAGAGCTGGACGGAGGAAGAAAGCAGCAGTTCTATGTAGTATGGGGAGGCGGTCGTTTGGCGCGATTCCGCCAATTCGACGCGGACTGTGGGCTTGACACCGTCCAGGTGATCGAGCAACCTACTGCCCATACAGCTGATAGAAGCCTGATCGATGACGCTGATTAGACGCAGAATTGTGAACCTGCTTATGTTCTGCCTATCAGCATGGCGTCATCGATCGGGTTTCTAATAGCTGGATGGGCAGTAGGTTGTTCGATCACCTGGACGAGTTGTCCAACCCGCAGACCGCGTGGAACGGGCAGCGCTATGGGAAGGATCGCGCCAAACGACACACCGACAGTACGGAAGTTTTGAACTCATTCAATGAATGGTAATCACAGACACTGCCGCATTTGGCCAAGTATGGATGATCAGGTTGGCCGAATACTTCGTGCGATTTTGTGATGCTCGCAAAACCAGCATGGTGACACACAGGGTTTTTTCAAGAAGTCGTATGAACATTATTGCAGCGCCGGTCCGATGGCCAGACTGGACCAGAAAGGAAGTGAGTCGCTTCGTGTCGAGCGGGTGAAAAAGGAGCATTGGATTGGAACAAGTCGGAACAAGCCGACATTACTGGCGGTGGCTTGAAGAGATCGACGATCAACGAGAGATGAGTAAGTTGATTCCTTAATGGAATTGAAATGGTAGCGTATAGCACCCAACTTCCTCTTAGGTTTTGTCTTATCACAAAGGTGCGGTGAAGGAGCAAGAACACTGTCTTGCACATCAATTGATTGAGCCCTCGTAATGATTCTGTGCAGAAATCACCCCGAAAGCACCAACGCCTTTTGCTTCGCTGTGTTTTGTCGGCAATATGGATAATCTTACAAACTTACTTGGATAAGGAAGCACAAAAAAACAAATGCGCACGAAGAGCGTCTAATTCGAAAGAGATCTTCAAGAGCAAAGCAGATGGCACGAATATGTTTTGACCATTCAGAGAGACAGCAGGTTTAGTGGGCGCCTAGGGAAACTGAACGGATTTTCAGAATGGCGAAATTGAACAGATTTTTAGAATGGTTGAGCGCATAATTAAAAGAACAGGTTGGGCAGTTGCTGATGTTTATTAGTTCTTATGATCGAATATTGATGCAGCACCACTATTTCCCCATCGAGCACCCCTCACAAGCACAGTGCCCTTCAGAAACGCTTTCAATGTACTCATTCAAACAAATTCATTCAGTAAGTTCCCGAGTCATTTATGTCCTCTAATTAAGAACACAACCCGGTCTTGAAGGATGGCCTAACCATGTCGATAGTTTTTTTAAACGACTGCTATCCTCTCTGTAGAGCTCCATCTACAATTTCATTACAATCCCCATTCTTTATTAAAGCGCCAAAGTTCTACTGTTAATAAAGTTTTTCACCAGAACGCTACGACTATAGCAGCAATTAGCCTTTCTAGAGATATAATAGACGAATAAGGGCATCATTTGAACACCGCTCATTATACAATTCACTACAACTTTAGGGTATCTGGTTTTAGAAGGATAATGGAAATGATAGTCCACAATAGTTTAAAAGTGGTGAAGAAAACGCGAAAATCGACTGATCTAGAGAAGTATAAGGCTTTAGAAAAGAAGTAAAATTAGAGGTTGGACGAGAATGTGACGACAGATGTTGCATGGAAGGGGTACTTGGACGAGCGTTCAAAAGTTGTGCGCCATTGAATCCCGGTTGCAGTAAGCTGCGTGCATGCATGATGTGGGTGCGCACGGGTTTAGGTCCTTTTAGGCAGTTGCTCGACCCGACAGTGTATCATGGGCTAACTTGGGGTAACAGGATAATCAAAGGGAAGATTGCTAGAAAGCATTTTTAACGTGAACTGGGTCTTTAGTTGAGCGTAATGCCCGGGGCGACGAAAACTACCATACCCGGCACACAATAACAAGTCCTCATCCACCATGAGAGCGGCGATCTATGCAGATTAGTCACTAGTCAATTTTTGAAAACGCACTACATAAGCAAAGGATATGTAGGTAACTTCTTTTAACCTTTCGAATGATTCCGAACAAAGTAGCTTACCGCGAAGATGTGAGAGACTTGGTTGGCCCAAGCCGAAATAATGAAAATCAATCTGAGATTTAACGAATGCGCGTGCAGAGCAGCGCTACAGCTGGCATTGTCTCATGTCCCGTAGAAGTGAAACAAGTAGATAGTAAAACAAATAAGTCAAGAATAAGCTTTTCAATACTTTAGTAGAACTCCTTCGCAGAGAAACAAGTGCTCTCACAATCTGCCGACTACGGATGTAGGTGCTCAATAATGCTGTCAGACAAGGAACCATCAACCCATTCTCGGAGTCCAGTGATTCGAACGTTTCACAAAAAAAAATCCCGATGAGGAGTATCTAATTTCCTACCCTCGCGCTAGCCTCCCAATCACCGACGACACAACACGAGCAGAACAGCGACGACAGAATCGTTAGCAATGCCCGAGGGTATAGCTCGTCCGCTGTGCTGTGCTTTTTGTCATCATGAAAGACAGCAATCAACTTTAAGTCACATTTCAACTGTTCTGCGAGAGGAAATCGATAATTACCAAGTCTGTAACCACCATCAACAAATCTGATTTTGTAGCCATTATAAAAAAGGACAAATGATGAAAATGAAATTATGGGTAGAGCCATAGCGCTGTGACAGAGCCTATGGTTTCACTTTCGAAGATGCTAGCCTGATTCTTCGTGACTGTTAAGTATGTGTAGGAGATTTATGAAAATTGTCACTTCAAATTGGCTGAAGCGCAATCAGTTTTGAGTAGAAGTGCATTCAATGACGCTATTTCTGGACTATCAGAAAATAAGAACTCAACAACAAAACTCGAAGATGCCGCTCCACGCCTACAAGTCAGGACTACCGCGTTTCCATTTTCTGTCAAGATAGCGACAGAATTGATTCTGAAAAATGTACGGATGCTACGTTGTGACTCTGGACAGAGCGGTACGTCGGCACTTATTGATTCATAAAATTCTTAGGCCTATAAGGTTCTATTTCTAAAACCGTTCGAAGAAAATATCCATAGGTTGAAAAGCGCCCTATGCAGTGACCTAAAAGTCTTTTAGTATTTGAAGAGTATTAGAAAGCGGGTCTTTTGGAAGAGAAAAGCAGCAGAGCACTGTTTTGTCGAAAATCCAGTCACTGAAAATTCGACGTGCGAAACCCTTGAGAAATGGTAATGATAAAACAATCGAGGTTGATGAGCGCAGACATAGCTCCAGGGCGGTTTATTCTTCTAAGACTAATAATGTTGAGAGAACCGAGAGAAATATGGCATAACAAATCACTACATATGAACCATGAAATGATTCCCTAGAGAGTGATAGTCAGAACTGCTACTCAAAAAATCGAATAGATCTCTTGGACCAAGTACTGGCGGTTTCTCGGTCGAACCATGATGACAAAAAACTTAACAGATGAGCACTCCTTGAGAGCTCCATGTATTCACTTTATTTTCATCCAAATAGCGGAGTTATTTAAATGCGTATAACTCTGAACAATAGCTTTTTTGTGGCTAGCTGATATTCAAATCATACCAGGGATAGAACCCTATTATTGTAAGCTGCTCCGCGCTACAAAACCCTTCAAAGCAAACACACTGAAGGGCTATTGTGGCAGTTTGTACTTTCAACGCATGAACGCTTCCATCAGAAGAGCGTATCGAAGATCTGACGATGCAAGCTGAGAAGATGAAGTGCTACACCATTGGACTGACCGAGACGAACGCATAGCTCACTGCATGGAGAAGTACTGGTCCTTAGAAACAGCGCTGGTAGAAGCGTTGACGGTATAGGTGTCCCGTCAATGCGCGCTTGCTTATGAACACCGATTCGTACAGCTTGATAGCTTGATAACCCTGCGATTGAGAAGATGCCCGATTCGGGTTATCAAGCTTTCGTACGGATCGATGTTCGATTGGCTTCACCCCAGTCTGTTTTGACGGACTTCGTTGTCTATCATCAGGCTATCAAGAAGATTAGTTGGAAACGTTTCATATAGAGCTGGAAAGGCTCTCTGAGAAGACCACAATTTATTCAAGATCTCTGTCGGTAACTTAAACGCCAAGATCGGATTTAGAATGACTGAAGAGCTCACGTAGAGACTCAAAGAACAGAATGAAGTGAGTAGGGTGAAAGACAGTCCAAGTTCATCATGTCGACCAACACCATCCATAGTAATTCGCTATTACAGAATCGCTCTCATTTGCGATGGTCATGGAAGTCACTTGGCAGATAGTGTCATAGAAAAAAGACAACATTGTCTTCAATCGAAGGTTCTGGCTGAATGACGTCGTTGTTGCTCTGAAATCGGACGGATTGCCCTTTCATCCGCGCCAGATTGTTTTTTTGTGCGTGTAGAGAGAGCCACAAAGCTCAGAAAACGAAGATCCAAGACCGCCATCATTTGTGACCACTTTGCTTCCTTTGCGAGTTTTTGGAAAGGTTCCGCTATTGAGCTCATCGATGAGGAGCCAGCTCTTCGGATATGTTCATGATAATGCTAGGAATGCATAGAAATTATCACGGTTAAGGGACGTCTCCCTGTGAAGACGCTAGAGCTAATCCCAGCGTGGTATAGCGTGAGCTAAAGGCAATGATCAACAATCAGTTAGGCGCCGTACATTAACGCGTGCGTCACAAAAAAAAACTCATCGAACAAGGACGGATTTTTTAAACTTAGCACCACCTCCGACGAAGATGTGGGTATAAGCGAGAACTAGTTGAGTTGTGGATTTGTGATGTGCATGCCCTTCAGGAAATGTGTTGTGAACTCAGGACTGCAGTTAATCAATGGGAGATGTATTTAAAACTGTTATACAAGCCTTTGACATATATTTTATGAAAATGATTTCCTTAGTCGCGCCACCGCTCCACATCTGTTTCACCGACTGGACCTCGATACACGCTCGACAAAACCTAATATCACATGGGAGAAATGTTTCGTAACTTCTTTCCTGAAATTTTTTTCACAGATTTGGAACGCCGATTTGACATCAGCGCCTGTGAGCTGTATCTATCGGTTTTGGCACGAATTGGCGAGGGGATGAAGCGAAAGGAAACATCCGTTACGCGCGTCCTTCGAAACTAGTTCAACACACTTACTTCGCAGGCATTGCAGCCTCCTGCA